CCCCCCCCCCAGCTCATTCCAGCAACGGCAAACGTGCGAAACTTCTCATCATAATCACGATCGTCTTCGCCATTGTCGAAGACCATACAGGAGCAGCGCAAATAAAGTTTGACTGGGTCGCGGAATGTCGAACGTTATGGCTGCCGGGGAACGTACCTCCTCACCTCCACACGGTCGTGTTGTTGTTGTTGGTAACGGTGCAACACCACACCACACATAACCAGACGAAAACCGGAAACGTGCAAAACGGCATCCACAACAGACAGGAATAACGAATCCCTTTCCCTCCACATATTTTCTCGCGCGCTCCGTTCAAAACTTTTAATTGAGGCGACGCGCCGAGGCGATGGCGCGCCGTGCAGCGACTCCTCTGCAGGAGCAGTATAATCGGAGCAATAAAGATCGCGAGGCATTGGCCGACCGGTCGGGACGGTCGGGACCGGACCCGCTCGCCGAGCACAAGACTCGCAAGGGAGTCCAGGACTCGGTGTCTGACCGCCCGACCACCGCCCGACCAACTGTCTGGCCGACGGCCACAGCCGGTCTGCCTGTCTATAGTACCCTGTACGGCGCTTTGCATTTGCCGGGGTTGACAGACATGTTGGGCTCTCCCATACATTCCATACAGTACCGGGGCCAGCGGCGGTATGCTGGTCCGCCAGGCAGGTGTGCGAACGGGTTGCCTATCCGACCGGAGCCGTCAGGCGCCACGGTACGGTTGGCGACGATACGATGGGCAAGCGGTGAGACCGAACCGACCGTTCGTTACCCCTTGGATAACACTTTCGACGCAACTGCGAAAACGGCTCTGTAGGATCCACATTCTTCTGAGGAGCAAACCTCCCGTCGAGGCGGGGAGGTAGCCGAACGAAACCTACGCCAGGCATTATGACCCGCATGAGCGACACCGTGGTACCTGGTAGGCTAGAGAGAAAACGGAGGAGAAAGGGACTTGCTCCTGCTGTTAGTTTTTGAAAAGGTGGGGCGGGAGGAACTACCGTAAAAAATAAATCAAGAACTTGGTAATGCAAAAGGGGATGCACCATGTGGTAAGGTTAGAAGGGTTAGAGGGCACCACACTGCAGTAATTTAGATGACGAACAACAAAATAACACCCGGACACGAACATGCAACGCATATTTACAGGTTGTTTCTTTTCTTTTTGTTAATTGTTAATTTTAATAGGCACATTGAGTCTTACCAGTGTGACAGCATCCAGGTGTGCGTGGACGACGGTGGAGAATCCAAATCAGCAGCTGTTATCCACAGTGCACGTACTGGCGATTACACACACACACACTCACACGCACACACGCGCGCGCGGCACTTGAAATGCCCGCCGCGACCTCTGGGCAAAGGTATGATGGAACGGCGCAAGGCGAACACTGTGTGCCACTCCTCTAGTCGGGGACACTCGACTGCGAGATCACCACGCACTCTCTCACACTCGCGGGCGCGCTGGCCGCCGGCCCCGCGGGGTCGCGGTTCCCTCCGCGGACCGGACCACGCCTACCTCGCGCAGCTCGCGCCTCGGCCGGAACAACAACAAGTGTCAGGCGTGCAGCCCGGGTCGGCTCCGACCAAGCTCGGGGCCGCGGGTGGCGGCGGCGGGGACGGGCGGCTCTCGCGGCTCCAGCCCCAGCTTTATCCAGCCCGACCGTGGACGCGGCCCGGCGGCGCGGTGCGGCTCCCCGTGGACGCGAAGCAGGGCGGCAGGCAGGCGGGCGGGCGGCCGGTGGGACGGACGTCAGGTCGGCGCGGCGTGGCGGAGGCGACTGAGTCGCGCTCGCGGCACTGGCCACGCCGCCATCGCGGCAACGGTGGGGCGCAGCGAGGCTCCTCAACCCCCCCCCCCCTCAAAGCTCCCTCTCACTCCGCGCTGGCCCCGCTCTCTTTCTCTGTCTCACTCTCTCCCCTCTCTCACCGGGCGGCGGGAGGCGGCGGCGGCGGCGAGCGCTCTCAGGCGCAACGCACACCGCAACTCAACGCAAACGCCAGCACGTCCCGTCCGCTAGAGTCCGAGACCCGACCGGGCCGCGCCGCCATCGTCCACGGTCGGATCGGCGAAAGAGTTTACCGCGATGCTTGCACGCCGATCGACTGAGCTTGCGCAGCCGTGACTGTCGTCGGCAGAGGGCGAGCAGCCGCGGTGAGGCTTGTGCGGGCGACTTTAGGGCGATTAAAGACACACAAACCGCAAAGAGATTCGACAGGAAAGCGGGGATGGTGTGTGCAGGGGGAGGGGGGGGGGTGCTGTTAAAATGTCCCCACAGAGCCATCGAGCACATCGAGTGAGCCCAATAAGGCGTGTAAAGGCATTTTTCCTTGAGAAAGACAGCAGTGGAACGGCAAAACACTCCTGTCACTGAACGAGATGGGGGAAAGGTGCCCTGGGCATAGATTCGCTAAAGCAGAGCCGGCGAGCAGCCTCTGCAGCACGGGTGCGACAGAGGCGGCGAGTGACGTTCGGACGCGCCCTCATTGGTCAGCCAGGCGGATCATTCCCCTGTCCCCGCCATGCAGTCCTGCCAGCCTCGGAGCGATTCAAACCTATCCACATGTCGTCCACAGCCTGAAATCGGGCCGCATTACTCGCATTACGTGGGCTCAATGTCGCGTGTGCTCCGCGACCACATGCGCTCGAAAGAGATCGCAGCGCGTGTTTCCGATCAAATTTCTGACTACCGTGGTAGTGATTATCGTTATAGCGGGTGACATTCAAAAGTAGGTCATGTTAGCTTGTGCCAGAAAATTATTTAATACTGCACTTGCTATGCACTAGATCTAACTTTGTATTCATGTTGGGAGTCTACCATCAGCATCAGCATACAAAAAGTACAGATGTGTGTACACAAATATAATTAATATGTGATCAATCACTAACAACAAATTAAAAAATACGTAACAATTTACAAGCAAGAGTACCTATTTGCCACCCATAGTTTAGACCTCAATCAGTCTTTGGACGCACTAGAGGAAGCTACAACTGAATAGGTAAAAATCATCAATTTCATATGCTATAAGGTATAATTGCTGACATAACGTACATCAAGACTCATACATAAAGACAATTCGTGATAGAAAAGTGCCAGTTACTTGCTTTAACTTCAACTTTAAGTTACAAACTTTAAAAATGAATTTACCAGGTAAATAAATTTTGTCTCCAGAATTCATTGAAGGATTAACAAATAAAGAAAACTGACTAATCAACTTTAAAATGTGTTACTTTTTTTAAAAAAGATTCAAGTGTCAAAGCAAAAATAAAATGAATAACAAAAGATACACAACATAAAAAAGATCAAGGATGTGTTTCATCAACAAGCATAACAAGTTACAATGCTGCACTTTAATTAACACCAACCAATATTCCTTCACAACGAGCTTCTTCAGGTGCTCTCTCATCTCTTTCCTCTTTTTCAGTTTCTGACTGACTTTTATGTTCATCTTGCACTAAGCATTCATCCTCCAAATTGCCTTTGCTATTTTCAGATTCTTCAACATGTTTTTGGTTAACAGACTCACCATCCTCAATGATATCCTTATTTACATCAGAATCCTCACATTGAGGACTGTTATCAGTTTTCTCAGAACTCAAACCATCGTCTTGAATTTCAGAGATACCTTTCCCCGCATGATTGTTTGTCGAGTCAGAATCCTCAGACACCTTAGCACTCTCAATTTCACTATCAGATTCAACGGAAGCCTTTTCTTTAACATCGCTTTCACAAACATTAGGCTCTTCATCGTTGTCTGGTAATTTACTTTCACTTTCTACAATGTCCTTCTCTGTAGACTCACTTTCTTCCTCTTTCTCCGACTCTGCCTCCTCCGGAACACCACTTGGGTCCTCTTTATCTTCATTCACCTTTAACATTTCATCTTGATTCCTAGACTGGTCCTCAATACTTGCAGCATCTTCTGGGACCTTGCCCTTCTCTTTTTCATCTGTTGACTGCTCCTCTTGAGTTTTGTTGCTAGGGTCCAAATTATCAAAAGAGTTCTCACCATTTTCACAATTTTCAAAATCTGTTCCATCTTCTTTATTTTGAATAACATCATTCTCATTCTCCACAGAATCATCTTTTCGCTTATCTTCCTCTGTCTTCTCAGTGTGATCATCTTCCACAGTTTCAGATGTCAAATAACCCTTGTTTTCACTCTTCGACTTATCTTCATCTGCTCCTTTTTCATATGAAGTCTCCATTGTTTCTTCACAACTGGCAACATCTTCATGTTCTGAAGCTGTGCTTTCTGGTTTATCAACTGTTCCTTTAGGATCTGCAGTGGCTGTTTCAGGTTCTTTAGATGTTGTTTGAGGTTCTTCAGCTGGGGTTTCAGAGATGTTGTGGTAACTAGTGCTGCTGACAAGATCTTCAAATAAATCCTTGGAAACTGCTTTCTTTGCAGATTTTGCTTGAATGTCAGGGAACAGATCATCATCGGATACAGCACCATCATCATTGTTCAGTGCCACATTACTTTGAACATCTGAAGTTTCAGCTGCAGCAGTACTACCAAATCTAAAGAAAATAATTTCTTTTAATTTCTCCATTTCTCCATCATCATCACACCGAGTCAACTTCAGTAGCAAATTGGAGTGTGGGTCATGAACTACTAGTTTGTGCAACATTCCTTTCACAGTGCTGACGTAACCCTCGCGGCAAACAGAACATATAAAAGGTCTAAAAGTCGACTTCGGGGTATTTCTTAACAAATCATCAAGTTCTTTCAAGAAATCAGGCTGTTCAACAACTTGACTTTCATTCATTGAACTACTGGGGTCATCTACCTCACTACCATCACTCACAGATGATTTCCATTGCTTCTTCTTTCCTTTAGAACTAAAGAAATCTTTTTCCTCACTGTCTCTGCGTTTCCTCTGAATTTTAGCCGGGGGAGATGGAGAATCTTCTCCAAAAAATTTGGAGTAGTTTCCATCATTTTTCCTGGCTCTTTTCCTCTTACTTGATTTTTCACTTTCTTCCGCTTGTGAATTTTCTGATACGTTTTCTTGAGAAGTATCGTTTTGTACTGGACTATCTATCTGATCCAATTTCTCCATAGAAGATGAAGATTCTTTTTTAGTTGTCTTCTTGGATTTGGGTCTAGGGGAATTCTTCTTAGTTGGAGGCTTGACTGTCTCTGGGATAGTTTCATCTTTTGAAATGCTAATATTTTCTTCAACTCTATCATCCTTTTCTGGTGAGATGGAGTTCCTTCTGGTTTGTCTGGGACTGTCAGTCTTTAAACTTGTTGTTGATGATGGGGAGTTTGGAGACTCACTGGGTAAGCAAGTTTTCTTAGATGGCTTTTCATCATCAGAATCACTAACCATGCGTGATCTCTTTTTTTTAGAGGGTACATTAGGTGTGGATGTTGACACCTCAGAGTCACCAAAATCCTTGGGGAGACTGCTTGACTTGATATCAAAAGTAACTTTTTGATGCCGTTTGGGACCTGGACGGGCGCTTTTTGGCCCTGGAGGTTTAAACGTATCTGAGTCAGAGACTTCCTGCTTGGTTTCTTGTTTAAGAGAAGATTGTCGAGCCTTTTTCTTTGCACTAGAAGATATGTCTCCGTTTTTGAGTGATGAAGGTTGGAATAGTTGCATAAATTCATTGACATTAATTGAACCTTTGGCCAAAATATCTGATCCTATTACAACAGCAAAATCGACCACAGTGACTTTGACTACTTTAGGTAGCATTGAATTTTTATCCACATTAAATCTAGAAAAGAAAGGAGAGAAGCATAAATGACACTGTTTAAATTTCAATAATAATCCATATTTCAAAATAGCACACACAAAGAAGAAACTTACTTATTTTTTAATGTTTTTACTATTTCACCAACACTTTCAGTTTTTTTGTTGGAGGTTTTCTGCGCAGATAGAAGTATAATTAATATCTGATTTGACACAATGACTTTCATAATAAATAAGAGATGACTATACTAACCTCAACCTCTTTGACAGAGAACGAATTACTGTAAAATTTCTTTAAGGATGTACATGCTTTCAATTTCAAATCATGTACTGTGTCTAAGCAAAACTGACACCGATAGCATATTGTTTCCTTGTCCTAGACGCAACAACGAAATCAGAAGGAAAACATTAAAAACTATAATTAGCAGGACAGAAATGAAACATCACAAAGCATTAGCAGCCAACACTACTAGCTTACCGAAACTTTCACGCTAAAGCAGTCGTTGGTTTTGTTGACAGATGCCTCTGATAAGGGGAATAGATGGTTCTCGGTGCTTTCACAGAAGTAACAGCATTTGGACTTACTAGAGTCTGTTGACCCTCTGCGCCGATGGCTTTGTTTGTCACCACTCAGGCTTTTCAATTTATTAACAAAACGTAAGCATTCATTTATAGCGCCTACGCAACTGACACATATGTGTGAAGGTAGACCATCCCCTTTGGACGTCTGTAATAAACATTAACACACATGAGGTACAACTAACTTAAACAAAGTGTCTAATTATGGTATGGTAGATGAATGCTACTGCAGTGATCAAAAAACAAATTCCAGGGGTGAAAAAAGCAGCGTGGAAGATTATTTGAATAAACTAAAGGATCAAGCGACAAACCTCAAGAGAAAGGCATTTGTTGACATCCTCTGCATAAGATACTGTTTGGGTTTTAGAGCCAAAAAGTTCTAACAAAACTCCTGTCTCAGCGCATACGCGACACACCTTCGAAAAGTCCATCTTTGTTCAAACCCTGTAAGAAAATGGTGAGCAAGTGATTAAGCAATGTTTATCATATAATCGTATAATACAAGAAAATAACACACACAGCGGGAACACGGCCCGAAAATACTCATGAAACTCTGCATATACGTACACACAAGAATTGAACACTAGCGGAGGTTCATTGCACCACTACTTCGCCAAAGCCGGATTTTTCAGCGGTAAATGAATATAAAGGAAACAACTAAAATAACTCGGGCTAAGTCATGCACAGATTTCCCAATTCTGGCGCGGAATGGCGACGCAAGGACCACTTCGTGCTGCTTCGTGCGGTTCGTGCGTGCCGTCCGTGCGCCCGGCCGTCCGCTAACACACTAAACGCACTACACACCGCCTGCTCAAACTGGCGCGTCGTACAAGGCGGTGTCGGAGTGGCGATAACGCACCTGTACTGTCACTAATTCAACGCGGGAGGTTTAAAAACAGAAAACAATGGTAACCAGCAAAAGCTCCGTCGTTGGAAAAATGTATCTGTAAGTGTAAACCAACATTCCAGTCTTACAGCAAGTTGTGTGGTGATTCATTTTCCATATGCTTCGTACTCATCCTCTCCTCCCCCCCCC